GCCGCTGTTGTATCCAAACAGCTTCTGGGGGCCACAGGTGAGAGCCGAGCACCCAGTGGAGACCAAAGAACGGAGGATGCCCCAAAGGGGCCGACAGCCCTCCGAGTCAGAGGTGCTACTCCTACCAGGTACCCCATACACCTCCATATACACCAGCTCACACTTGGAACTGACTTGTTGGGTTAGCGAAGATTTAACTGTCTCTTTTCGTTGCCGTCGGGCTAAGAAAATTGATTGACTAACATTTACTATACTGTCTGGACTAACGTGAATTGGCAATTTCGGTCAGTCCTAGTGTGATCTGGTTAGCACTGTAATAGCACGCTCGCCTTCTATGCGAGGGGTCCAAAGTTTGAATCCAGGATAAAATCGTGAATATGCCCTATCAATAAGATCTAAGAAGAGCAAAAAATGGTTCCTGAGCTTCCCGGATGTATGATTGACTGGGTGAAATAACGGTTGATCTTGACGATTAAGCCTGGTCAGTTCATCTCAATATCTCGTTCCACACCACCACTCCAAGGTAACTGCCTTAAAATAGTAAATAATAATTAGTAATGAGGTCCCGGGTTCGATCGCGATTTGGGCCGGTGGATTCGCACTACTCATGAGACCCAACCGGGTCGAAATAGCTGTTCAATGCTTCGTATGTTTTCAGTTTACGTTTTATTTTCTTTTCACACGACGATATTCACCATATAAATAAAAAAATGCCAGACTTTAGTTCTATCGCACAATAGCTTGTGGTGTTTTCTACCAGAGGAATTGAATGTACAGGTGTGCAAGGTATGGCTAATTAGGTGACTGGCGGAGGTCAGTACCGTGAGAGGATAGTCCTAGCAAGACGAAGTGTTTTCTTTTAGGAACTCCAATGTCTAGTTCGTTGAAAAATAATGTAATTCTTATGCACTGGAGTTCAATGTCTGATTCCTTAATTAGGACAAATGGGTGACGTGAGTAATAAACAAGTGAGATGTGATACATAAATCTATAAATGGCAGATGATTATTAGGGAAGCTTAAAATATCAATTTCAACATATGAATTCAGTCTCCTTATCTTGTTGAAAACGGTGGGAATATGCACGCATCAAGTAAAATCGTGGGACCTGGTGTGCTTTCTCCCACTGTTCAAAATGGGGTGGGATGGGGATAATGATCTCACACTCCATCACTGATATACCGTGTAGCATCTGATGAAGGAGTACATTCCATCGTCTTGGAGCGATTCAATAATTGTTCAGATTTTTATGAAAGAATCTCGCAATGATTGTAGATCGGTCTGATCCCAGTTGTCACCACAATATTGGTCTCTGTCATACTTCAACATCTGATACTCTAAAGAGAGATCTATATGTGTAAACAACAGGTAAGATTCCGACCAGGCCATGATTGTATCGACCAAATCTTCACTCCACGTTAAGTCCTCTAGTTAAACCGTACACTTCGTCGACCAACAATCGCAATGTTCAAATTGTTGTTTGGCAGATTGAAATTGTGAAAAGTTCGATCTGTCAAACAATTTGAACAATCAACCTTGCCTTATAAGTTCATTCGGTGGAGTCCAGTGAATAATAAGGAAAACCTGTCGTGGCAGCCAGTTTACATGTTAACTGGTGGATACCATATGCCTCTGTAAGTTGGATGGATAATTCGAATGTGGAAAGATCAGTGTTATCGGTGTGACCTCGTAGCTCAACTGGCAGAATGTGCACTGTACAAAATCGCAATGTTCCTTGATCTAAAAGACCCTTCAATTCAGTTGACTTTGAAGCCCTAATGTGTTCGCTGTTTCGCAAAGGAATAAAGTATGCAAACCTAATAAAGTCGCTCTACTTGCGTACTTATGGTAGCGTAAGCGTCTATGGCGAGTTGAGTGGTTAGTTCGAACCCAGCATTGGCGTTCGTCAAGGGTGTCCTGTTTCGCCATTTCTATTCAACTTCGTCGTAGATGAAATAGTGGAGAGCGTAAAAAGTAATATCCAAAATTTTGGTACTTAATCGGTATGTGAAGAAAATCTGTGCAATTTTGAATACGTCGAGAAAATTGTTTGTCTGTTTGAATGTATGGAAGACGCACAAAGCGCTTCTGACAAACTGACAACTTCTATTGCTTCGATATACTGTTTGCACCACAAAAGTACGATACTGCATATCGTCTGCTCCGGCTCTGATGATTGGCGGTTAGAGGTTCGCTTCACTGTATTTCTGTGTATGATGATGATGATTTCACAGTATTCCGCTTCAAGGTAATAAAAATACTGATAAAGATCGTCATCATCATCGTACAGCGAAATACAGTGAAGCGAACTTTACTGATCGCCGCCAAACTCGCAAGCATACAAACTTAGTGGTAACCTTTAAGATGGACAGGGATTGAATCTATTTTAAGGGAGAGGGAAGAAGGTGAACCTCAGTGGTCAACACACAGAGTACGCAATCGAACTCTGCATACGTACTGTTTCGAGCCTTCTGATCTGATAAGAAATGACAACAAGAACGTCACTGCTGCCGGTTCGCTGCCATATCCTTCAATGTCTCCAACCAACTGTTGGAGTCTTTCGGACCCCAACCTGGAAGGCGGGAGACATCTACTCTATATAATGGCTGTGTGCATTTCTTCATGCCTCGTCTCCACGTCATCTGTTGACCTCCACGTGGTTTCACCCAGCCTGGATTAGCTACAGCAAATAGAGCGCGGTGCGGCAGACGATGGCTGGGCATACGAAATACGTACCCTAGCCAGCGAAGTCTGCTAATCTGAATTCGATGTGCTGGCAAGTTTACTCGTGATAGACTCCCGAACACACGGCGGCTTACCTCCACGTTACTAACCCGTTCGCTCCATCCAACGTGATCTAAACTGCGTAAACGCCGATAATCGAAAACTTCTAGTAGATGGATCTTTTCTACTCGCAAATTCAAGGTCCCACAATCGTAAAGCAGAACTGAACGAACGCCAGCGCAGTATGCACGACCTTTCAACGTTAGGGGAAACGTTGCGTCTACGCCAAAGATGTTTCAGTCCTGCATATGCTGCTCGAGCCTTGAAAATGCGAATGGATATCTCCTTTGCTGCGCTTCCTTCATTGGTCAAGCAACTACCTAAGTAGGAAAAGTAATCCACCGTAACTAATTCCTGACCATTTAGTTGCGGAGCTGCGGTCTTGGGCTAATTATACTCCAAGGAACGTTACAGAGTGATCAAAGTGCATTGATTGAATAACACTGTGAATGGACTACAGACATTCTGTTGTATGAAGGCAATCAACCTTGGCAAGTTCCAATAAAAAGTTATTGCGTTTAGATACTGTGGGTGGTGATCTTAATGCGGAGAACCATTCAGTCATTGAGGATAATTAAGACTGCAAACATGCAAATTTGAAGTTCTTGTTTGAGCAAGAACCAACTACTGCCGCATCAACTTATTTGGTATAAGGGTCGTTCTAATCGGCAGGAAAGTTCTTCAAACACTCACAGTTGCTTGTTTCACCTTCTCAGATCATATATCAGTGGTCCCGCGATTTCCCTCCTGAGTAATAAGGCATTATTCTGTATAGCCAATTTTGTTTTTGTTTTTTCGTCTGCTGTTTTATTCAAAAATACAAGTGAGACTGATGAGAACGTACTTTTCAGGTTTCCTTTTTATTCATCATTGTTTTCGCTGTTTAGGCTAGCCTGGTCGTGTACAACGAAGATGGCACACCGGATCCCACCACTGTGATCCCTTTGGTCGACGGTGGTACCGAAGGATTCAAGGGCCATGTACTGGTTGTGCTCTATGGTCTAACAGGCTGTGTGGAGTGTTCATTAGATTTGTATCCGCCCCAACTGAATTTTCCTCTCTGCACTATTGCCCACACGCCCCGTTTACCGGAACATTGTGTGGAGTACATACGGATACTCTTGTGGCCGAAAGAACAACCCTTCGGAGGTGAGGTCTTTCCGCTTAATGATTCATCCACCATTTAATCGGTATTCTACCGTGTGCACACTTTATCGTATATATATTCTACATTCTTTGTTGTAGACATGTGTATAGATAGATAGATAATAACCAAAAAGTCGGACAAATTTATCGTGGTTTGAATGTTTGTAAACCACCTTTACCGGACGGGATTCCATCCATCACCCTAAAATATGCGTTCCGGTTTTAACTCTTGTTTAACACCGCCTTTTCTATTCTTCCCGTGATCTCAAATCTTCCCCACTCCATGGGAAACTGCCGTTATTTTTCCTGTCCCAAAGCTTGGTAACCCTTCCGATCCCAGCAACTATCGTCCCATCATTTAAAGTTTTACATGCATTAGACACGCACTTTCATGTACCGGTTTTAGTTGCGATCTCATGACTACCCGTTTAGGTGACGGATTACAGGAAATATCGGAGTGTTTGAATCAGTTTCAGAGTAAAATATGAAATTCATGATACCAAAGTTGCAAAGAAAATGAGGAGCACTCTGGCTGTTTATAAACTCCGCGCGCTTCTTTCACACATTCCGATCCACCCCGACTGGTAACCAGTACAGCGAAACGTATCTCACTCTGACGTGAATAATAACAATGATGTGGAAAATTCATCAACATTTGTATTTGTACGACTTTTGTAGGCTTGTTTATCGAGGGATCCTCGCCAGCGGTGATGTGGTCGAGTTATAACTACAATGCAATACAATCAGAAACCACAGAACCAGGTTCGGGTATTTGAAAAGCATGAAATGCGGTGTTTAATACTCAATGGTTGGTAACATTATGGCCTATAATTCTGACTTTGACAGTACCGAGGAATCTTATTGGTGTTTTTATTCATAGTCCATTGGAAACATAAATCCGTCGATCATTCTTCACTCTCCATCAACAGTTTGAGCATTAAAACCCGTCCCAATAACCCTTGGACATTGTTTAGTTTAACTGTGTGATACTGTTTATGGAGGATCAGAGAGCTTAAAATGTTATCTTCTTTTGCAAAATGTTTCATTGTAACACTTCTATTAGAACATGTAACATCCTTTCTCCAGTATTTAATAAAGTCAAAAAAGGAAATGAAATTTACTAAAACTCAGAAAATCTATTCAGTGCTTGATCCTTTTCGGCCATGCGGATACAATGTAAATTTCTCTTTCCAAATGCAATACTTTAGATTGCTTGAAAGACCTCACTTGACAATTCCAAAATATTTCTCACTAGATTACTTCGGTCACCTTCCTGACCCACCAGGCTGTGAATAAACCATAAAGTACCGTTGGTTTCACAACACTACAAGCGTGTGGCAAAATGATCCATCACTATTTCTTGAATTGAGCTTGAGTCACCGGTTGATCTCTGCAAGGCTGTGATGACTTTGGTGTATGTTAGGGTGAAGTTTCTTTTGTGGCCAATGACGAAGACTAATTCCAAACTTGATGTACAAGCACAAAAACTTGATTTATGACCTGAATGGAGTGGAACCTTTTCGCTTCCCTTGTTTCGACCGACAACATTTGCTACCATGTATAAATGTCGTACCCTGGAATTCATTCGTCTCGTTATTTTATTTCACGATTTGAATAGCCTTACATTCTATGTTTAATCCCCTGATATACCTGTTTTAGCATTTTTCCATACGACCTGCGGATGACACTAAAAACAATATTATCATCCTGCAACGGTATCAACTCTCTTAACTGGTAAGGAACCTACAGCATTGGGCGCTTTAGTATGTTGTGTACCTTCGTCGTTTTCTATAACAAACGCCCAAGTGAATATTGCCAGTCTGAAACACTTGATGCTATCACAAGATACAAATGTTGCTGAACACGACTGCAGGGGTTACTAAAACTGACTTCAACAGTCATTCCGGTTGAAACTCTCCCCTTACCCACCTGGAATTCGGGCATCGAAGTAGTGAAGTGTCCTAACTACAGTAAAAAACTAGAAGCCTTTCTATCTACAACTCCCCGCCTACCCAGAAGGAACACGTGCAAGCATTTCCACTGTTCTGTCCTTCTTATTCTTTTCTAACGTTTACTTTTTCACTTGCTTACCACGTACTCCGCACATAAAACTAAAATTCCAAATTCATAACAGAGCCCAAAGGTTTGTCCTATCGTTTCATAGGCGGTGGTGGCTCGGCGATAACGTCATCAAATTATTTCCCCGGGGATGTGTTCGAATCTCACCACCACCGTCTGACTTTCCCCATTGTGTGTTGAGTGGCAGCCCTTTAGTTGGCCTCTTCCTCCTTCCTGAAAATTGTACCATTGCATATTCAATAAAAGGAATTAAAAAAATGGAAAGATATGGTAGAAAAATATATATAATAATGTTTATTTGACTATTGAATTTTGTCTTTATATTTTCAGTCACATAGCTAGAGGCTACCATACTTTGGATCTCAAATTTAAAATAATCGTTAAAGCAAATATACAGTAACCAGAGTTCAAATATTTGTTATCCTGTAAGAGTGTCTATCTCTCCGCTCATCAATTGGGATCTCTTTTTTTACGCAGAAAGTGTGGCCATTGACGGCGACTGTCCTGAGCACATCCAGTGGATCTATGAACAGTCTTTAAAAAG